CTAAGCCCGGCAGAAAGAAAGAAAAGCCGGGTCTTTCCGAGTGACCGGTGAACTTGGGGAGGCAGGCCTTCGGGCCAGGGGGCTCCGGCCCCCACACCCCATGCAAGCAAACAAGCAAGCAAGACAGGAGGCAGTGTCGGTGTGGTTGTGGCTCTTGAGGGTGCTGCCATTCGTGCCCGACTCGTCCTTGTCGTTGTGGTTGTCGTTGCCCACTGCAGATATGCATGCCCAGTATTGCAGATGTACATGTAGCGCGCACACAGAGACACACAACAGCACCTTGTAACGAGCTGGCCAGGGGCCCTTCAACGTTGGAAAGACCCGTGCGCGAGACTCCAGAAAGTCCTGAAGCCCGACAACCCTAGAAGTATTCTTTCGGCAACCAAGGCACTTTCGGCTTCCTGATGTCTCTGAGAGAGCTGCTCCTGCCTTAGGCAGGCCCGTGGATGTGGAGGTGGGCTCCGGACCAAAAGCCCTGGACGGCTTGCCTTTTTTTTTGGAAGCTTGAGGGGAGGGGTGGAAATTTGGATTGAAATTGAAGGCTCAATGGCCCGAGAGTGCAAGAGCGCAATGGTTAACAGGGGGCCGACAGTGCGGAATATGAGTCTCCTCAGCTGTTGCGCGAGCCCTTCGATGGTCAGGACTTCCACAATTCTGAGAGTTGAGACCTTCGGGATGGTGATGATTTTGCCGAGTTGGAAACTATAGACCTCACAGTGGACTCTCTGCCGTTCCCCATGTTGGAGCATAAAGAGATGCAGATTGTGTTCTCATTGAAGAGGCCGCAGTTGCTCACTAAAGGCGGTTTCACATGCATAGCCACAGCAGGCAACATCTTGTTTGCCAACCCTCTGTGCCGTGGTCAGAATTTCAGCCCCAAGGTCGTTGCCAAAGATCTGGAGCAACCGATGCAGTCGGTCAGGTCCGATTTAATCGACCGCTATGTCGGCCTGAGGGGAAGTATTGTGACTCGATTGCAGAATGGCACTCTAAAGCCCACGTACCCCTATCCCTAAGCTTTCGTGAGGGCGATGATGAGCATAGTCATGTTTATGATGATGGAGTTGGCGAAAGGGCGACCATGATGGCATGATGGCAACCAGTGTGGCCATGATAGCATGGTGGTGGTGATGACGATGCCGGCTAAGCGAGCCTTTACGGAGTCGGCGCGCAGCACGCAAAAAGGCAAAAAAACACGAAAAGCCGAAAAACGCGAAACACGCGAAACCCGAT